TCCTGATTGGCTGAATACCTGAATTTCAGCCAATCAGGGAGCGACAACACAGCACGCGCTACCCGCGTGCTGAAGTACCTACTTTTATGTTCAAACTACCTACTTGTGTAAATCTACCTACTTATGTAATGCACGCCCATTACAATAACGCTCAAAGCACGAATGGCCGCATCCGTTCCGCTAACAGAAGCGAACGTACCAGGGATGGTTACTCCAATTTTCGGGAGTACAAGGAGCAGAAGGCGTGCCGTTGCTTCTCGATCTGATCCTAAGTCTCAAAGATAAAATTAGAGTAGATGTAGATAGTGTTGGTAACTCACTCTCGATTTCTCTCGGCTCGCCAAAAGCGAAAAGCGATCGCCTTCTACCGACTACTCGGCTCACCGATGACCAGCGTTCTCAACTCGGCGCACTCGCGTTTGTCGGCCAACGCACTCAGCACAACTGAACGACTTCCAATACGTTGAAATCACGGACCTGACGGACAGCTTGGCTATGGTTAATATCGTCACTCCTGAGTGATGACGAGCACGACGCCACTTTCGAGCTACCTATCGATATCGTCAGGTACCGACTGGTTCTGGAAACAGAGATCTTTTCTGGCCGAGGTTATACGTCGCCCATACTATGACCTTCATCAAGATATTCCCAAGAGGCGTCGACGGACGGGCCTAATGCGTTGTGTCCGGGTATACAGCGTCCGAAACTACCAATAGTCTCCATATTGTGAGTCATGACGGACCAACTCGATTCCCGTTGACGGATACCCAATCGCTGAACAAAGTTGACGCGCTGAATTACGCACTTCAACCAGGCCAGGGTGGCAACGTGGTGGCATTAACCCCAATGGAGCTCCATCGACAAGACGCTCTTTTGGCAGCTTGCCGAAAACGAAGGTCAGGGATTCCACCCTCAGTCTTGGCCAGCTTATCGGCCCCCTTCTCTCCCGATGAGATTGTCCCGTTAGTTAAACCGGCTACGCTCCAGTTAGTGCATGTCTGTCGACAGCACATCATTGACTACTCGCTGCCAGCCGTGCCAGCCAACCCGAAGACCTCTATACTGACACGTCGCACATCGTAGGAAGAATCAACTACTAGAAAAAGCACTGATGAGGCCCGAAACACTCCGACACCTCGCAGACAGCCTAGCGCCGTCAACGAGACCGATACACAACTGAGGAAATGACAGTGCCGACGACGAAAGTGCTAGTTGTTCCGAAGATGACGACGTTCGTAAAGTATAGTATACGAACGCACCGCTGGCTAAACACCGCCGTTTCAACGGCAATGACAACGGAAATTGTTCCGATAGTAGCGTCGACTCGTACGATGATGCTGAGAGGACTACACGACACCAGCGAGGAATCGTATTTCATCCGTCTCCGAGTGATCGTCGCATACACGCCGCGATAGGCAACCGACGCCACACAGGTAATAATCCTCAAACATTACTTCAATCTGTTCAGTAGGCACTACACGTGGAGTTCTTGGCAAGCCCTGCAGTACTACGAGGTGTGTACTCTTTTGGCTTTGGGCTTGGGTTGTTGATAATGCACTGTCGTAAAGCGCCGTGGATGGATACAGTCGCAGCAAGTGAGAAAGGCATGAATCTGTGGGATTTCGCATCCAAGAACGGCTATCCGACACCACTCAAGGTTTCTGGCTTCGGCAACTTAATCCGTTCGAAAACGGCTCTGCACAAGTTCGGACAGCACTTTTACAACGGCAAGACAGTGGACCACGCTCTATCAGACCCGACAATGGCGCGCCTACTGGCTTACTGGATCAACGCAAAATTCAGCTTATTTCGCAACAAAGATCTATCAGACGGGCTGCGGGAGGCAACCAAGGTTTCAACTCAGTTCTGCCGAAGTGATGATAAGCTCGGTGCTCTCCGAGACTCATGAAACCAGCGTCAGCAAGGCGCCCTCGCCCAACCAACGCAGAAACCAACGTTCGAGGTCATCGTACGACTAGCAATACCGATAGTCGAAATCCAACTGATGTGTACGCGCAGCTGCCACTTGGTGAGGACGGACGAAAACTATGTCTGAAAATCCTGTCAAGACCGGGATGCCAGTTTACCAAATGCTCAATTGCTCACTTCCGGCCGGAATCACTTGCTGAAGGTGTACAAAATCTGATTTCGGAGCGGTAGGGAAGGCTCAGCGCTAAGTACAGCGACTTATGACGTAACAAGACCAATCTTTGCTCTGACAACAGCCCCAGTTGTGAACAGGAGGAACGAGATCGGTATAAAATCGTCATGGCCACTCTGAATAAATCACGCGTTTTCAACCAGGCTTCCGTTTACGAAAACTATCAGAAGAACGCTGTCGGATTATCTCCACCGCCACTCAGACCGAACCTGATAGACGACGTCGATGCGGACCAGGTCCAGTTCTGGTCAACATTCGCCGAACCCAATAAATGGAGCTTATCTGACGTCGTACGGCTGCTTCGCGGTCAAACAGCGTTCGATCTCTGACCCAACAAAGACCTCTTCGAATTAGTTCCGCCGCTGGACACTGTGCTCACGTCAATCGTCGCCAAATGGAACAGCATTGTTGGTCTCGGAGTACAACCACAATGATCGGCCAACCTGCCAACCAGGCAATCGACACGCCCTCAAAATCATGCCGGCATTCATCGCGTATCCAAATAGGTACTGCGGCACCTTCGCAAAGAGCAACACGAAGGCCGATATCTAATCGTCGCCTCGCGTCTTCTCAAGCTTTGGCCAGAAATCTTCATTAGCCGGCTGGAGCAGTCGACAAGGCCGCAGCGGCAACCGTTGACATTCGGCTGATTAATGACTCCTCAATACCGCCTGTTCACTCGATCAACGACTTCACCGATCATGAGAGTTTACCATCAATATCGTACAACCCTCCTCGCGATACCGCTAAGCGAATCCATTTTATCGCATCCTCCCACCTTGTAGAGCATGTTCTGATGATGATCGGGGATGTTTCGGGCGCCTTTCGCCACATTTCAATCCATGCTAACTCGGTTCACATGTTCGCATTCGTCTTCGAAGATCTCCTCGTCGTTGATCTGTCATGCGGGTTCGGCTGGTGCGGTTCCCCAGCCTTTTACACGCTAGTGGGTTCTATTATCAACGCTCTGTATGAGCACGGCAACAAGTTGACCCGGCAATTTCATGGCAATGTGTGGTGTGACGATCACACATGCATTGAAGTCGACCGCGGGTCGGCTTGTTTTAACGCCAATCTATCGCTTCGATGGGCAATGGCGACCGTGTTAGGACCTACGGCAATCAACGAACAGAAATTCACGAGTTGGTCCAACACAAACGATGCCCTCGGACTCCTATAGGATACAAGCGCTGGAACGGTCTCTATCCCTGTCGATAAACTCACAAAAGCATCTGACCGAGTAGATGACCTCGTGTCGAGCAAATTTGCCACGCGGACTATTCAGCTCCAGGTCATCGGCAGCTTCCGTCACGTTGCTAGTAGTTTCCCACCTGCACGCGCCTTCCTTCAATGCTTACAAGAAACAGCAACAGCTTGTCCAAAGTACGGTCGTCGTGTACTATCAGCCTCTACTCTTGATGATCTTCGATGGTTCCAAGCTGTGCTACGACACCCGGCACGGTTTAACGCCATTCCGATCATTCATTTCGCTGACATGTCTGAATCCCGATTTCACGTGTTCACGGACGCAAGTGGAGACGGACTGTATGTGCTCGAGCCATCCCTGAAACGCTACATTCACCAACGATTCTCAACCGAAGATCTAACCTACACATCTATCCACGTTCGCGAACTTCGCAGTGCGGTACTTGCAGCACTACATTGGGGTCCATATCGGGCTTCAGAGAGTAACACGACCCGCACGCACGTCCAGTTCCACATCGACAATACAAATGCGGTTGCTTGGGCAAACCACCGTTCAAGTCGACATTCTGTCGTCAAAATGCACAATCGACTGCTGTCCCTTACCAAATTTCAGTACAACCTCGTATTCACGGCGTCGCACATTGCTGATAAACTCAACATGATGGCCGACGCTGGATCTCGGGTGTGGTCAAAGGACCATCAACTTGCAGACTTATGGACTAACATGTCGTGTTCATGGACACAGACTCGGCTCGAAGCGCCTTTCGACGATCTATGCAGCTTCTGGGCTCGTTACGCAGCCAAAACGACCTGGCAAACTCCACCACTACCACATATACTCGACACTGGGGTCAATGGTGTCGATTTGCTACGCGGATGAACTGGATGAGATGGTTAACACCGGAAAATGCATCGAATTGATTGGCATACTATGCCACTTACTGCTGGATCGGTGGATGGAACAGTCACCACAACAGAAATCAACACTCGACGATCAAGTTAAAACTTGCCAGTATCTGCTGGTTCCATCGTCGTTACAAGAACCTTGTGCTACGAACGAGTCCAAAACTCGACTTGGTTCTTCAAGGTATCAAGCGTCTATCCGCACCAAGACATAAGAAACAGCCTCTAACTCCGCCATTCCTCCGGACGCTGTATCTCTCCCTCGATATGTCAAAACCGAGACAGCATCTACTCTGGGGGAGCGTCACCATCGGCTATTTCTTCCTATTGCGTCGGACCGAGTTCCTCAAGACAGGAAAAACACGCAGGCTCTTCGGCCTGAAGACCATCAACGCTTTCTTCTCGGATGACAATGGGAAAATGGTAGCTCGCAATGCAGCCACGTCAGTCACGATCGTCTCGAAGGAGCAAAGAATGACTAGTTCGGCCGCAGTGCCTGGCGAGCGATGAACACCTTCGGCGACAAGCTGCTCTGCCCGCTGAAAGGCCTCCACCACATCCGACAAGCTCGCAAACTGCTGAAGGTCGAAGCTGATCAACACCTGTGTGCTGCGCTCACCGCCAGAGAAGTCGCCAGAGCTATCAAGAACACGGCACGTGAATTGGTATCCCAGCGTCCAACTACTCCTCACACTCGATCCGAATTGGAGGGGCCACAGCGCTGGCGGCTGGTGGTGCGGACAATTTCTCCATAAATTCCTTGGTCGATGGCTTTCAAATTGCTACGAAGAGTATCCACGGATGTCAGCCCCAGAGTCAGAAGGCCTTTCTCAACGGATGGTACGACGACACCATTCATCGCGCGCGGCAAGCAATTGACATCTTGGGGCCGCTCACCACGCCCTCCGACTAGGTATCAGCAAACCAACATAATTTTGCCCCATGTGGCTGTACTTGATGGAAACCGCATCTTTTTGCGGAGCACAAGGGCGAAAAGGTCGTACTTGTGTTCGACGGCGTCACATACGCATGCGAGCACTCACTGGCTGTATACGTCGTGACTCGAAAAGGAGCTCGATTTCTGGCACTGGCATCGTTCATTGGTGAAGCGTACCAGCCCGTCCGTTTTCTCGACCTCATCCTTGTGCAGTATGGACTCCTTGTCCAGGATCTCGTAGCTATTGTGTGCGACAACATAGAGAAAAACAAGGTCATATCGCGCCGGATTGGCCCACCAATGATTGGCTGCGCTGCACATCGATTTAACCTCGCCACAATGAGTACGTGACCGAGCACGCTGGCCTCATTGCCACGGAAGCCACTTTGATGCGCAAGTTAAAGACAGTAAGGATCGCTCTTTTGAATGAGCACAGATGCAAGCTAAACCCCGTACCCACGCACAAACTTCGCTGGAGCAGTCTTCACCGCATGGTGAAGCGCTATAAGCAGCTCCACCCGTACATGTATCTTTTTGAAAGAGATTGCGACGTGGATTGCGAGTTTCTCGCTAATCTCCCAGATAATGACGCTGATCGGTTCCCCAATGTGAACTATCTTCCTACTGCCACTAAAAACTGTCTCAGCTTGACCTTGCTTGACGACATAGAGAGCTTGGAGCTGGCTACGAAGCGACGACAGAGTGAGGATTTAACTGTGATCTCCGTCCGGGATATATTCGTCAAGGTGCTCGTAGATTTTCGGAACTGAGCGGCCGCCTCAAAGGCGACACTGCGATTGTGAAATCGGTTCAGTTTCAAGAAGCTGCCGTGAGAATCATGAGCTGATACGAACATTCGCTGACGAGTAAGGAGCGCGTTGCTGCTAGCCGCTTGAGGAGGGATCTAGTTGTATCTGTTGGCCAAAAGTCCAAGAAGACCTCGCGAGCAACGATACCTTCGAAAGTTACGGCGGCTAAGCAAAAACGGACTAACAGAACCTCCCCAGCAGCTTCATTTGCAAAAAGGAAATGAACACCTGCGGCAGGAAAGGCTGCTATCCTCACGGTTGCCAAAGGCGTGTAGAAGACAAATCGGTCTACATAAACCTCGCTGGTTACCTGCTACGTCAAGCGAGGTTGAAATACTCTTTTCCATTATCAAGTGCACACTAGGGTATCTACGCAAGGGAGTGAGAACAGAACTCTTGAGGTGATCCTGTATCTTCGCATGAAATGGGACCTGGTCATTAACGACATAGTTTCTAAGGCAATCAAGACAGCACGAGAGGAAAATGTCGAAGAAGAGGAGGAGTGCGACAGCAACATGTAGGAAATCTTATTAATGCTTCTTCAGGATCATTATTGGGCATGATGCCACACAATCAATATTGTTTTCTAACCAAACGATGATATTATACTGTCAACCATTTTTTGTTCGACCCCTGCATGCATGGTGCGGCCTACCACAAGGTCGTTGAAGACCCCGCACCGACGAGCTCGGACAGCAAGGCGAGCATGGTGGGGTGGTTACACCAGGACGGTGTCACTCTATGTATTGACGACTACAATAAGAAACAGCTAGAACGAATTATTGCGCAAGCGTGTACACTATCTGGTAGGTGTTACTTACTTTTCTTTACACTGTTATTAAAAGAAGCCGACGACAATGTACCCGTTCCGCATAACGGTTAATCACACAAACGCATCAAACACGGCATTCCGCAAATTGAGAAATTGCAAGTCTGTAAAGTTGAAGTGGTATCCACGACGACTGTCATGCCACGCGAAGCGATTACGGTGGATTGCAGTGATGAGATTTGGTTTAACGTGATCCAACCGTATAGTTAAGAAATATAGTGACGAAATACAGTTGAAGGTGTTGGTTTACATTTGTTTACTAATATTGTGGAGTATCGGACCACAACTCTTTTCAAAATGTACCGCAAATCTAACACTTAAGTATACACTGTGACATTCGTCAACAGAATGAATCGTAAGATGCTCTACCGAAAATGTGCGCGATATTTACTGTTACACAGGTTAAACGCACTAGGTTCCACAGCATTGCCACAATGGTTTGGTTAACACTTATACTCATGGAGCATCCCTCCCCACAACGCATTATACAATCAAGCGCAGAAAATACCGCGAATACTTAGTTTGCCTGCGATTGTATAACTCACCCATTAGAAACATCTATCGCGACATTTTTTTACAAAATGTATCGTAACATGTGCTACCAAAAGTAGAGTGCCTTTTTCCATGATATAATTCAAATCTACTATATTCCACGGTTTACCACTTTGGTTTGGTTGACATTGAAATTCACGCACCATTACCTCTCACAGCACATTATACCGCCAACTACAGGAAACAGTCATGAATGCTTGGTTTTGCTTACGTTTGTACTTAGGTGTTTTGCATTTGCTGTATCTGTATTGGTTTAATCTGTAGTACGGAGGAAGCAATAGATAAAAAAAAAACTTGAAGTCGATGCATTGTGACAAAACGCTTGAGATGTGTTCTACGACCTTTTTGTTTAGTACGTTTTCGAGAGAAAATCCATCATTTTAAGATAACTGACAGGAAATCTGACCTTGATTGTTAGAAAATGAAGAACACAGCTATATAATAGCTTTTATTGTGTAATAACGCTTAATAAGGATCCTTTACTTGTACAAATAGAGACCATCGATGGTTTAAACTGTAAGAAATATTGCAATCTATCGAATGGATTCTTAATACTTAAGGCCCGTAGGTAAGCCCGCCGTTACGATATAGGTATGCACAAACGCATTTGCGTATTGGGTTACAAGTAAGTTCGGCAAATTTCGCAACGTCGTCGCGACACACGGGGCCTCTGGTGCCGAAGACGTCTGCAAGGAGTTTGGCCGTAATGACGAAGAGCTTCTTGACATTCGAGATCTCCGCCAATCACACCGCAGTGACGATCATGCGGCCATCCGTCGCCGCCCTACGACTAACGCTACTGGTCGGAACGACAGCTCTCGCTCCAGAACCCCGGATCCACAGGATGTCCTCGCTGCGTTATCTGTTCAAGGCACGAAGTCCCTGTCTATGCTGTCAATCTCGGCCATGGGGTGCTCAGGCAACGGGAAGGGTGGCTGCTTCGATAATAGGAGAGAGCATTTTCGACCAGCCGAGCTGCCCGACATTGTAAAGGAATACATCGTGAAACACTACAACGGCCTCCTGCAGCCAGGCGAGGAGTCATGACGCCATCCCATAATTGATTGTCCAGTGGAGGCGGTTCCTGTACCACCGTTGGGTCTTCGTCGTTCTGTTCCTCTATCCACAACACTGCACAACCTGAGCATTCTGCGCGAGAGAGAGGTTCATGATTCCCGCTATCGTTTGCGTGCCTTTGCGGAACAATTTGGTCTCACAATGCCAGATCTGGATGTAGGCTCCGAGGCAATCGACACAAACCAAGTGGGTTTCCTGTCGATGTTGGCGCACCACTCGCAACTGTCGCTACCCAACTTCATTCGTCTGTTTCGTAACCAATCCTCCTCTGACTCAAGACCCAACAAGGCACTGTTTGAGCTTCCAGTACCTCCGAACTCCAAGCGCGCGCATTTATTTCCCCATTGGAATTCCATTGTACGGAGCGGGGTACAACCGCGGTGGAGGTCTACCAAACCCTCCAGTCAAACTACGAGACCCCCAAACCACAACTCCATCGCCTCGCACACTGCCAGCATTCGGAGGCACATACGGACAGGTCAACGAGACGGCAGGTTTCTCGTGCTACACGAGAGCGTCCTCAAGTTATGGCCAGAAGTGTTCATTAGTCCGATCGGTATCGCTGAGAAGGGAGACAACGATACTCGTCTCATTAACGACTACTCGTACCCCCGCGGGTGCTCGGTGAACGACTTCACCGATGATGGTAACTTTCCATCTATCTCTTACAACCCTCCGGGCGACATTGCCCGGCGTATACACAAACTACGCACAGAACACCCGAACGCCGAGATGCTTCTCATGTTGGGGGACATTCCTCAGCGTTTCGGCACGTGCCGATCCACGAAGACGCGGTACACATGTTCGCGTTCATTTTCGATGGCTACGTGGTTATCGACCTGTCATGTGGCTTTGGCTGGTGCGGTTCACCTGCGTTCTACTCTTTGGCAGGGGGCGGTAATCAACGACTTGTACGAGTCCAGGGGTCCAACGACCAGCTCCGTCGACTCCAGCAACTTCGTCGGCAACGTTTGGTGCGATGACCAAATGTGTGTTGAGATTCTTGCAGGCAGTCGTTGTCATGACGCTAACATCGCCCTCCGACGGGCGATGGCTGCAGTATTGGGTCCGTCCGCCATCAATGACGAAAATTTTACGGAGTGGTCACAAATCAACAAAGCGCTAGGACTGGTGTGGAACACTTCGGAAGGCACAGTATCCATTCCTTTGTGCAAGTTACAGAAGGCGGAGCGTCGAGTATACAAGCTGCTCGAGGACGGCCGTTCCACAAAACGAGACCTCAACAGCGTACTCGGCGCGATGCGGCACGTATCCACCTGTTTTCCCCCGGCACGGGCCTTTTACCAGCGACTCCACGTTGGATCCATATCCATGGCTCCGTTTGTTAGCAACACACTCTCCGGGGCCGATATAGACGACCTCTTGTGGTTCGGTGCTGTCCTTGCTCGAAACGATCGCTTCAACGGTATACCGGTGGCCCAATTTGCCAATATCGCCGACCCTGACATCCACGTGTACATGGACACCTGTGACGACGGTCTCTGCGCGTTTGATCCCAGTCGTCGTGAGTTCATCAGGCTGCAATTCAGTCCCGACGAGTCCCGTGCCTCCAGCAACTCGATTAACATACGGGAACTGCAGATTGTCGTGCTAGCGGCGCTGGTGTGGGGACCCAACTGGCGTCAGGAGGACAGCAAGGCTCCAGTTCATGTTCGCCTTCACATCGACAACATCAGTGCAGTTGCCTGGTCAACACGCCGGCTTAGTCGACACCAGATGGCACAACTCTACAACAGACTTCTCTCGTTAACGGAGCTACAATACAGCCTTTCAATATCGTCCGAACACATACCTGGCAACTTCAACACTATGGCCGACGCAGGGAGCCGCGCATGGACCGAATCTCACCCGCTGTGGCAAACATGGACTAACTTATCGTTTGGTTGGCGGCAGATCTCCATCGTCAAACCCTTCGACGATCTCGTCGACGTGTGGAATCAGTGCTACTCCACAATATCCTGGCCAATACTATCAAGTCCAAGTACAGCGCAACGTGGCGGCAATGGTGCAGGTTCTCCCGCAAGATGAGATGGTCGCCGTGGATTCAAGACGATCCGAAGTCCAGTTCACGCAAACTCCGCTATTTCACTGTTTACCTGTGGCGTTTTGGTGGAAATATATCGCGCAAGGGCAACCAGTACTCTACGATCAGGTCAAAGCTTTCAAATGTGCTCTGGTACCAGCGTCGATTTGGAGACACGGATGTAGCCATTTCACCTAGACTTAACATGCTGCTCAAGGGCATCAAGCGGACTTCAGATCCCGTCGTAAAGAAACAGCCTGTTACTCCCGCCTTTCTCAGACTGCTGTATCGGTCACTCAATCTCAGCCAACCGCGACATCGTCTATTGTGGGGCAGCGTCCTCATTGCCTATTTCTTTCTACTACGGAGATCTGAATACTTAGTCGTCAACAACAAGCGGTCGTTTTACTGCCTCAAGACCAAGAACGCATTCTTCGCAGACGCACAGGGGAGCCCAGTACCATCTTCTCGGGCGTCTGCAGTCCCAATTGGGCTAAGCGGCGCTAGAAACGACCAGTTCGGCAGAGGTGCTTGGCGAACGATGCATCGGTCTGGGGATCGAATCCTGTGTCCATTAATGGCTCTACGAAACCTCCTGAAGGCCCGCCGAGAACTCAAGATGGCCGCCTGCGAGTACCTGTGTCTGGATCTAGACCACGCCCTCAAGCGGATCGCTAAAAACGTCGGTGTTCCAGCAGCGAATTATGCCACACACTCCCTGCGAAGTGGTGGGGCTACGGCTCTTCTTCAAGATAATGTCGGCAGCCTCGCCATCAAGCTACTGGGGCGATGGAAATCGCGGTGCTACGAGGACTACCCTCGCCAATCCGCTTCATCAACAGCCCAATTGGCTCACCGGATGGTATAACCTCGGTCTGCACTCAAGCACCGGCGAGCACATGTCTAGGGGGCCGCTCACTACGCCCTTAAGACAGTCCGAGCCAATACACTCATTCTTCCCACCTGGATCTGTACGTACGAGAAAATGCATCGTGCCGCTCCGAGGATCCCGCCAATTTCAGAGGTTATGCTACAATAATTCTCAAGCGCTGCGCTCGCACATTTTTCCTAGACTTGGATGAGACCACACTTGAATGGTGCTATCTCAAGTCTCACACTGATGCGCCTGACCAGACGAATCATCGGGATTTTGCAGTGTCGAGCTACGCAATAGATCAAATGGATGTTGCTAGCCTACTCAGTAATATCTTTCCTACATGATATGACGGACGGATTACTACTCTATTAGATATAGCAACATATCATGCTACTAAGGTCGCGTCGAGTATACGAGCATTTGCTGTGGTGAAAAGGTCGATATATGGCGTCAATAGCTGAGGTTAGAAAGCACTCCGCCTTAGGGAAGCGGGAAATGAAATTGTCATACTCTCTTCGCGCTAGCTTCCGACTGCAGAGGCACACAGGCATATCAAATTCGATTAGGAATATGATATAAGTATATAAGTAACTCGTGGTCTCACAACAGGGATCTGTGTAATTCGAATATGGTACACTAAGCGGCTGAGCTTGTTCATGAGGCAAAATGCAGGCCCTCTCTAGTTTCAACTCCATCTGGAAACGATCTGTGATATTGTAATGAAACATCTCGGACTACATCTCATGATAAGCTGCACTCCGACGACCGTACATTAACATGATAGCTTGTGGACGACGGTGATCACTTTTTTATACGAATTAAAGTGTTGCGATGTGTTGTTGCATTTTGCATGTTCGGCATGCATGATGGAACTCTGCAAGCGTAGACTAGAATTTAGTGTTCAAAAAGCCAAGACTAAAATGTAGTCCAGACTAATAGAGGTCACGGATCTTGGAAGACGTAGGGGCTTGTAGGAGCGAAGGGAAGAGTCACCACTCGGAGAAGAAGACCAGGACGAAGACCACTTGAGAGGATGAAGGAAGATTCTGGAGTGGTTGATTTATCGGAGCTTACGCTACCCTCACTACCTAGTTTGCATCCAATCACTGGGGTCATCCAATCATCAACACTCTGCACTCGTCCAATTATACTACTCGTCTTATCACTGGTGGCGTAATTATCGTACCGTAATCATTGCGGGAACGTGTTGGACAGGTTCGGGAACCGGTATATACCGTCAGGAACCGGTAACCCTCAATACAGACTAATTTCATTTCCGTGTATTTTTCTCTTCTTCACATCGAGACAAGGAAAACATACATGAATAACCTGTTACGGCCGATGACTATTGCTTGCTAACCACAATTTTTTTCATTGCCACTTCGTGTCCTGGACTATAATAAAAACGCTTGATTGCAAGTGTTTCAAATTTTCGCGTCAAATTTGTTATTTGTACAATATCAATTTTACTCCATATTAAAATCTCTGGTAACCGACTCGGTGGGCCAAATTATATCATATGAGACAGCATATCAGGTTGCTCAAGATTCATTTAGGAGAAATTTTACTGTACAGTAATGGACCTCCTTAGCGAACTCGCAAATTCTAATAAACTTCGGGAAGTGGTGAACCACGGTATGATCCGAGGTGGGCAAGGTGTACTGGAATATTGACGACCCTGCTGACACTGGCATCATAACCAAAAATGCTACCAATAAGCTTACAGGTTTTTTCTTTAAATCAGTGCATGGTCAGGACGTCGGACGAGACAGCGCTCTTCATAATAGATTCACTTTTTTATGCATATCAGGTGTTCGTTCCATGTGAGGAGGCACATCACCTCATCGCGACGGACAGAAAGGACTAGAGGGGATTTGGGCTGGTAGTTCTGAGTAAGAGTCTAGTATATCGTCTACGACTTACACTAAAAAACAGTTTTTTAAAGCAAAGTGTATGCCTAACCAGCGATGTGAAACATCCAGAAAGCCGTGATCGTATCACGGCTTTCAGTAGTTACTACAACAATAACAACGCGGGCCAGGTGCAAACAAACACATCAGATAGACAGAACCCAGACTTTCCAAGTCATGAATGATTTTTCCTCCGCATCTCGATACCTCGTAAAATCCATGCGAATGTGACAAAATATATAAGGATTCACTTGATATATGTATTGCAGGAAACTGTGTGTAAAACACACGGACATGAGTTAATCCCAGTTTGGGTTGTACGTTAACTTCGTACCGAAGCACTACCAGTAAGATATTTTTCTCCTGGTAAGGTCTCCCAGGGTTGTGTATTCAAATCCTATGCATTAAATCCACAAATCCTTCGTATCTTGCAATAGTAATCTTGACGCATAACTTCGATGTTAGTACCGTATATGTGATGATGAAAGGTGGACTGCTATTTTGTTTGAACTATTTTCGTTTAATAGAAGCCTTGTGGAGACGCAAGACGATGTCTTATGTCTTTCTGTGGGAATATGTAAGACCCATTGACTCTGAGGTTTCAATCTCAATATTAACATATGTATGCTGATATGAAATACTAGTATTGATTTTACATGTTAGACTATATTCTATTTTTTAATCGCAGTTTTGCTACTGCTGATTGGCTAATAGTAAATCGAGGTGTTACTTGTCGTTGATGTATACGTGCACACACAGATTACGAATTTATAACATGAACCCCTCCGAAGAAGATCACTTTGCAATTTCCAGCAACCAGCCAACTTCATTTCCTGCATATGGACGTTCGCTCGCTCATTCCTCCAGACAACCTGTCGCTGAGTGACGAAATCGTTGGTAGCGTCCTCCAACGAATTCTGCCAGCAAACACCAACAACCACCGACCACAGTATTGTTTCAGCTACCAATCAATCCCTGAGAGTCATTCCGCCGAAATACTGACGACTATCAATTCTGTTAAACCTCGAATGCATGTATCAACAAAAGTATCTAACGACAAGATCCGTCATCGAGAGTACCGTCGAGCCATACAAGCGCGAAGCAGAAAAAAGAAGAAGCAATATGTGTCCGATCTCGAATGTGGCGTTCAGAATTTACGTCTCGAGGTTCAGCAGCTCGAGCTACAGCGATGTAGAGCTTTACTCGGCATTCCAACACAACAAACTGCATGGACGGTCGCGTTGGAGTATTTCCGCATCTTTTGCCGCGGATTCAAGGACCCACCACAAGCTCTCTACTCATTCGCATTAAGGTTTCTGCAAGAATCGATGTTGCCGGACGTGAATGACGGTCTGGTAGTGGGACCACACGCGATGTTGGAGAACTGGGGGCGGTTTTCTTCGAGTTTTGACGACGTTCGCGTCGATCTCAATCGCCTAGAGAAGGTTTCAGCGAACTCGCTGTTTGCCGTCACCACCACTAGTGCTACCATCTCCTACGATGCACTGCGAGTGGTTTTTCCACATCTTAAACGTCATCTACAATGCGGCGTTAGCGAAGTCAAGGGGTCACTGCTTGCGTGCAAACTGCTGAATTATCGGCTTAGCATGCGCGGGTCGGTGCGCTTTGAATGGGACGATAGAACGGATCGGGTGTCGAGTATGGATAGTCGATCGGACATGCTGACTCCGCTGTTGAACCTTCTGGGAAATTTGGATGACGTGAATTACGTTTTCCGGTGTGCTCTGGTGACTCCCGATTGTAGATTTCTCGTTCAGGCTAACTAGTAGAGCAGATACTTGTGCTGTAGGTGTGTTGAAGAGTTCTTTGCGGCACAGGTTACACGTGATGCCATGGTCAGTATCCATGCGCTACATGTGAATAATGTAAATGCGATGGTTTTTGTTTTCTATCTCCACCTAGCTAGTTCGTTTAACTCCTCTCAGACTACTGAGCTCATTGAATTCTTCCACTTGTCCACCATCTACATTCCGGTATCAGCAGAGCACCGTCAAACGCGCGACTCACGTCTACTAAGTTACCCAGTAAACGCAACATTGGTGTCAACACTCTGCATCCACACCACGCGGTCGATACTTGGGTCCCATTCAAAGAGCACTGATCCGTCCATGACCAGTCGTGTGTTCAGCATCTTCGCAGCAAGGATCGACAGCTTCTTGCGGTTAGCAGTATCGTGCTCGTTGTGTTTTAGGTGCGGAAATACCAGTCGCAACGTGTCTTTGGAAATGGTGACGCTGATCACAGTAGTTACTTCAAGAGTGTTCGAAGCAACCTTCTTCTCCAGTCGCTTGGTCTTGACGCAAATGTCGTCGAAGCAGAGCGAGAACAATTTCCAGTTGGCCGTCCATGACATCTGGTGCCATGGATTTGCACAGGAAGTTCAACGCAAACGTATTCATAGCTTCTGGAGGATTCTTGAAGCCGTTCTGGAAAAGCCAAAAGTATTCCGTCGCGACGACCCAAACGCTCTGGGGAGACGAAATGCCGATAACAGCGTTCTGGTGTCTCTGAGTGAGGCGATGTATCTCTTGCTGCAGTGTCTGGACGTCTTCTTCTAGGTGTTCCATGTTCTCTTGTTGTTTCTTTCTGTATCGGATCTGGTTTAGCCGTCGGCGTTCTTTGTAGAGAGCTTCACTGGCATGTGCCAGATTGGCCAGATAGCGGGGCTGTGCCTCCAAGTCTGTTGTCTTGATTTGTGCTGCTACGAGTTGCATGACCTCCTCGGTGGTTAATGATTTTGATGAACGTTTTCGACCAGGAAGGTTGTTGGTGTTACGCGAGGCTATTGCTGGCGGCTCATGCTGTTTTGGGCTTGAGAATCTCTTCGGTGTGTCAGCCACAGCCGTTTCTGAGGGATTTGGCTGCTGGTCTGACTTAGAGGCGATCTTTTTTTCAATGTCACGAATGGCGTGGCGTTCAGGTGTCCAAGCACGCTGCAGCACGTCACGGATTACAGTGTCGCTGAGTGCTTGACAGTTGGGTGGCTCGAGTGACCAGGTATCCATGGCGTGGTCGGTTGTGTTGGCAAAATGATGTATGGCAACCGGGTTAGTTGTCTGTGATTGACTCACATTGACGTATGATCTGTCAGCGTGCGCACTTGGTGTAGTTTCACGTCATCCACAGCAACATCCACATGTCTGATGTCTCTGGCCATGAGTTCATAATGTTGGACGGCATATGAATTTACTCGAGGTCGACGCCTCATGCCGGTGTAGATACATGTTAGCAGTGACACACGGTCGGACAACACTACAAAGCTTGCAAAGCTTCACCGATTTTGTTATAGTGCTCACGCCTCAACTCACCCGAAAGATTATCTATATGTATGCTGAAGAATTGTACTTCGAAGTACTTGTACTACATTTCAGGTATACAGTAGTGGTTGTACCTGAGGTAGAGATCGCGATGGAATTTTAGTGCTGCAGCTGGGTAGAGAATGTGCTGTGTTGAGGCATTCGTCCCTAACCTTACTAAGGCGGCGCGCATCACGGAAGCGGGTGAATAAAGACCATATTCAGCAAAAGATACGTGGATTGTTTAATTACCAGTCAAAACTAGCTAGTCGGCAATCTGGTGCTACCAGAGCACCTTCGAACACGAGGCTCACATCTTCTAAAGAGTCTAGCACGCGTAGCAACGGTGTCAGCATGTCCGACTGACTCTGAATACTCACCACACTGTCGGATGCGCTGTCCCAGTCAAAACGCACCGACCCGCGCATGACAAGCCGTTGGTTCAACAGCCTTTGACCCAGAGGCGACCAATTGCCTCCATGGGCACCTCCTTTCCCGTCACTATTCAAGTGCGGAAAGACGGCACGCATTGCTTCTTTAGAAATGGTGACCGTGGTAATGGTGATTGCAGTCAACGAGTAAGGAGAGGCAGATTTTTCCAGACTCTCGAGCTCAACATGAACGTTGTTGAAGTAATCCGAAAACAGTCTCCACTTCGCGAGTATTGCCTCAACGCCACGCTGGCAGCCGTTCACCACATCTGGCGCCATTGACACACGCAGAAAATTCAACGCAGCGTTTTGAAGAGCTTGTGGTGGCAAACGGAAACCATGTCGGAAGAGTAGAAAGTATTCCGTTGCGATAGTCCAGAGAGTCTGATGGGTTGGGATACCAATAGAGGCGTTATGGCGTCGCACTTCCAGGTCTTGTATCTCGCTTTCTAGGTTGCGCACATCTTCTCCCAAAGTCTTCACCAGCTCACGCTGCTTCATCCGGTATCGAACTTGATTCTTTCGGCGGCGTTCCCGGTGCATGGCCAGATTCCGTTCGTGGTCCTGAACGGCACGAGCCAATTTAGCCACGTAGCTGCTCTGGTCGGCGTCTTGGGTTTCGCCAATGGCTTCGATACTTGGTGTTTTTGTATCCTGACGGCGTTTCTTACCCGAAAGTTGGATACTCACTCCTTGAGCTGGTGTCAGTAGTGACGGCGGAGATGACGACTCGATGTCAGCTACGTGTTCGCTGCTTGCCGAGGTGTGGGAAGTAATCGCTCCGTGATCTCCGCGACGCGATGTGGCATTTGTGCGCAGGACAACAGAACCAATTATCGAGTCGCTGAGTGACTGGCAGTTGGGTGGATAAAGCGAGCCGACGATCATTGTAGCTTGGGTGATACAACACTGAAAATTGAGGAATGGTATGGTGTACATTGACAAAGTCTTCACGAGCAAAGAAGTTTATGGACCACGTCGTGGCAAAAAATGCTCTTGTTGAGCCATAAACTTGGCTCATGACCAAGCACAAACACGATTACGAACCATGACTCCTCCATTTTCTTGCAGATTTGGCCTGCGCTTGGAGCACAGCAACACGTGGGATCTTCACTGGCTTCGCGAGGAAAGACAACCTCGAGTGCGGATCAGAAACGGTTGACTGTACAGAGTACAGGAAGTATCTCTTCGAAGAGCTGAGTTTACTGTTAAAGAATGTATGGGACTTGAATTAACCAAGAGAATATAGCGAAGTTGAACGAGCTGATGCTCCTTTCTATTATGCGGAGCCCCGCGTTCTTATCGTTTTTATTTATTTATAGCCAGACTAGTCCATTCTTACTGTGCATCCACTACATAAACATAGACGATATTACGAACCCGTTATAAAGTAAAATGTTGAAGATGCCTCCAAACATGATGATTACACTCAGTTAAAACCTCTCAGAACTATTATATATAGTTCTAAAAGGTCCTTTCTAAATCGCTGCAGCCTATTATCACTATACTTATAGTGAACATCAGTCCACTATTCATTGGTTTGTATCTAGATGACGTCTTAACCTTAATCAATCTCACTTCGTCTTTTGACGACAAACGACAAACTCAAACTACTACTTCTCTTCTTCTATCTCTCTTCTTTACCGACTCAACTCGCTATATAAAATAACTAAAAAAAAAAAGAGGCAAAATAAGAATCAAGAAGTTTTAGTTTGGCTGCACTAGAAATTAATTTAAAACTGAAATCCCCTATTTGGGGTTTCAGTCTTAAATCCCTTCAAACTTTAATAATTGCCCTCATTCATCTGGCAAGCATTATGGATAATAATTTCCTCTTCATCCTAATTTCATATTCAACCCTTTTGAGATTACTCAACTTGCAATGTTTCTAGGTACCGAGCAACTCCAAACATTAGCATGCCCTAAACGACTCGTAAGTCATAGACATTATTCCCAATAAAACCTTCAATGTATACTTTTTACATTGCCCATGTTTACTGTCCCAACCTTGATACGTCTCTCTTCACTAGCCCTCGCACAGTTATGGCTCAGTTGCAGTTTTCTAGTGCAGCACTAACTAACACTACCACCAGCCACAAAATCGCCCAGCTGCCGTGCGACCTAGAACTTGCGCTAACAACCGAAGTCGTGGACTTGTCAGAACTCGGGAATGGCTGCACTTGGCTCTGTATAACCTTCTCCTCGTCGCTGACCTCCACGCTAAAACTTACGCGTTCACGCACGCCATTGCTCACAATAATTTCGTACGAACCGGGATAGCTCACACGGTTGCCGTTTTCATCTATCAAAGACAAATCTCTCCGCTGGACTGTGAAGCTCACTCGCGTACTCCCCGATGGTTTCAGACTCACTCGTTGATAGTCAAATAGCTGCAAGTTCAGCAATGTAGCAGGTCCCTTGACGCCAGTATTCAACGGTTTGAAGAACGCGAACACAACCTCGTCACCAGCTACGTCGCCGTCATTTGACACAACAACTGTCACCGTTGCGTTTACGGAGTCTGATATCTCCATCGTCGTAACATTTCGACCCGAGCTCGAGTTTGTGCTAGTGGTCGAACTCGCAGTCGTACCGCTGTCGACAGACAGCGAGAATGTCGTGTAGCTAAGGCCCCAGCCAAACGGGAAGACTGGTTGGCCCTTGAAATACCGATATGTCCGACCAGGATGCAACGTCATGTCCATGCTCTTCATCTCCACTTGGTCCACGTAATCGGACCGGTACATGGTGACAGGCAGTTTACCGCCCGGGTTGACGTCACCGAAGAGAACATCGGCAATAGCCCGTGCCCCAAAGAAACCAGGATAAAATGCCTCCACGAGAGCATCCGTTTGCTGGATGATCTCCTCAGCGCCGATGACTCCACCGTTGATTAGTACTACGACGGTGGGTTTGCCGACAGCTCGTATTCTCTTCAGAAGGTTCATTTGGACACTTGGTAGCTCAATGTTGTCGCGGTCACCGACCTCTTCTTCCACCGTTTGATCGATACCGAGGAACAATACTACGGCGTCAGCTTTCGTCGTAGCAACCACAGCTTCGTTGAAACCAGCGGTTGAGCTGTTCTTAATGTCACAACCATGAGCGAAAGTCGTATTGGAGACTCCGTTCATGGCACTGATAGCCTCAAATGGCGTCTTCACACACCCGACTTCGTTGTAATCTCCATGGCACATCTGACCCAAATAATTACCCAGTAGCCCGCGCTTCGACTTGGCGTGAGGACCAATTACCGCTAGTTTAATCCCCTTGGTCAGAGGCAACACAGACTCGTTGTTCTGTAGCAGTACGATCGACTTGCGGGTCGCGCTCAAGCTCAACTCCTTCGCTTCAGCAGTGTTCACTTCACTGGGAGTCACGTTCCAGTACGGTTGGTCCTCAATCGGATCAAACAAGCCCAACTCGAATCGCAGCTTCAGACTGTGGCGCAGTGCATCGTTCAGTGCCTTCTCTTCCAGCTGGTTGCTTTCTACAAGGTCTTTTAGACACGCTTCGTACGACTTGCCACTATTGATGTCAGTACCTGCGAGGATCGCCAAGCGAGCAGCTTCACACTGTGATTCCGCGTAGTGATGCATGTCCGAGATGGCCTCTACAGCGCCTGAGTCACTGGTGATGTAGCCGTCGAAGCCCAAAGTATCCCGCAGTAGTGTCTTCTCTAACGCGTTATTGGCACACATCGGGATGCCGTTCACACTGTTGTACGAACACATGACACCCTTCGCGTTGCCGTCCACGATAGATGAGCGAAAGGCCGGGAAGTATGTGTCAGCAAAGTCGTACGGAGACACAATAGCGTCGAACTCCATGCGGTTAACGCCACCGTAATTCTCATAAGAGTATGCAGCATAGTGCTTGAGCGTGACTACGGCTTGTAAGAATCGCGGGTCTTCTCGCTTGCCTTCCTGCAGTCCGCGGGTATACGCGACACCGTATTTGCTGTTCACCAGGGGGTCCTCGGATGGCGTCTCGGTATTGCGTCCCCATCGCGGGTCTCGGTTGATATTAATATTGGGCGACCAGCAGTCGAGTCCGAGGTGTGGGCCACCCTTGTAGTTTTCTCTTGCTCCTTCGAGCCACAACGCTCGAAGTTCCCATCCAATGGTTTGAGCCATGTCGAACACCACTTGTGAATCGAAGATGGCGCCGAGGTTGATGGGATTCGGGAAGGACGTGGGGCAATTGGTGCCGCAAGTGGACTGCACTCCATGCACGCAGTTGGCACCCCAATTGTATTCGGGCAATCCGATGCTGCTCATGTTGCCTCGAGGACTAGCACGTGCCGTTAGTAGCGTAGCCTTCTGTTGAAGCGGCAGTCGTGACAGTAGATCCTCCACGCGTAGGAAAGTCGATACCTTTGGATCACAGAACGGCAACTTTCGGTGCTCACCAACGCATGCGCGTGGGATGCCTGCGTTTGTTGGTAAGGCCAAGCAACTTGCCACAGCAAGTACGAAGAGCAGCACCAGCATGACGAATGAGCTTCTTGAGTCGCTTTGGCCAGTAGAAGAGGAATTGAAAATGGCCGAAAGCTATTCGTTGAATCCCCCGTGAACGATTCCGCTTACGCGACTCTGTCGAGCACAAGTGGGCGTGGAATCACCATGGTGGATCAACGGATTTTCCTTTGTGGCCCAAGAGCATTTGGATAGGACGTCGAATGGCTGCTATCAAGCAGACCAACCTGGTCGAAGCAGCGCACGACTATGGAGGGTGGGTTCGAAATCTACTGTGTGAGACTGTTTGCTGTGCTGTCATGTGGCCGTGTTTATCATTGTGCTGATTCACGCAGAAACCGTCGCGTAAGCTGGACAGATGTGTGCGAAAAAAAAAACACGAAAATAGTACATTCCGACTTGCATGCAATTGATTATGGACGCAAATGAGAGTTTGGATTCGGTCCGACGCTTAACATGGTGACATGAACGGCGTCCTAACAAAGGGTTGAACGCCCCCCAGAAGTGGTAGATCACTGGACCATCGAACACACAAAAAGAAGAAACGATAGTATCCCAGTTGAGAAGATTTTGCCGTATTCGAAGGTAAAGTTGAATGGAGTTGAGTACGACACTGTCGCAGGAACTGGGTCTTGAGAATGAACTTTTTTTAAAGTATTTTCCGCTGGTGTGATCAAACCGCACCTTTGCTCCAAATTCGCCCTGATTAAACGGAGTTATAGAACTTTAGGCCTGATCAAATTTGCAATGGGGGGCAACTGTTCTAATACTATTAGCGCGTCCAGCAACCTTTGCATGTAGTGTAGCCGCTAAACGACAAAACGACTTCTTCCAAGCCCGCTAGCAAGATGGCGAGAAAGTTGATCTGATTCAGCTGCCTTTAAATTAAATGAGTGATGAAACTGAAACAACTATACGATATCTGTCCATATTCGTAGACGCCTTCGTATTAAGTACCTATAGACAGAGCACTCCTGTGTGCATGCACAAGAAGAACGCTCTGATAAGTACAAAACGTTGTGTGTGTGTGTGTG